CCCCCCCTCCCCATCTAACAGTCAGAAGCCGGTCTCTTACCTGCGCCGTCTAACCTTGTCTGTCCTCCCGTGTTGTTGTGGTACGAAGGCAGGTAGGGGCTGTGGTGCGGATGGCTCACGTACGGGTAAGGCAGCGACCTGTTGTAGGTGTTGCTCCCCGGGTACGCGCTGCTGCTGTCGTGCTGGTGGTGAGCGTGCGAGCCGGAGTGGAGGCAGTGCAGCGGGTAGTGGCCGCCGGCCATCGACGGGGAGCTCTGCTGTGAGTGCGACTGCTGTCCAAACTCCATGAACGCAGACTTGGACGAGTCCTGAGCCTCCAGACCGTCAGCCATCGTTGTCATGGTCATCATCGAATTTTCTGCCTTGAGAGCACTCACCCTCCCCCACCCCCCCAACACACACACACATCCAAACACACACTCTCTCTCAAGACCAAATCGGTTTTCTCTCTCTCTCGCTGTGCTGTTGTCTCTCCCTCCTCTCCAGCCGGAGAAGATACTCTCCTATTAACACCCGAAATTTCCAGCGGTGTCTTTATCCCCCCTCCTCCTCCTCAGCACCACCACGTTTTTTCCCTTCTCCTTGTCCTGTGGTGTTCTCCCTCAAAGTGGCGGAAAGGTAGGCATAAGTTAAGGGGCGAGATTTTAAGGTGGTTTCTGTTAAAACTGAGCCCTCGCTTCCAGACTTGATGCAGACACTACAAGTAAAATGGTTTGTCTCCAAAGGGCAGCGCCTCCCGATTGGTCATCCAACCCAAACGTCATCAGGCGCTCTTGCGCTTCACGGAGACTTGAGCTGGAGTTAACCCACCTTACCAGCTCCCCAACCACAACTACGGGGAGGAAAACAATATGCGGTGGGGAAAGACACCTAATTCCTGTAGACAAGCTTCAAGTGTAAAAAAAAAAAGAGAAAAAGAAAAAAAAAAAGAAACAGCTCGACATCCCCCCTTTCCCTCCCTAAAGCTCCAATTTACGCACGACGCACAACACAGTGCGCAATTTGATTAAGTCTGATGAGCTTACAGACAATGTGTACCTCTTTTACCTCTTAGGCTTTGAGTCCTCCAAACTCAAGGAAATAATTACATGCTTGAAAGCATCACATGAACATGTATATAATGGAACGATTGACTTCAAATCGATTTAAAACCAAAAAATGTTGGATAAACCGACGTGGCTTCATTGATACATTTTATAACTAAAACGTGTTTTTATTTCATTCTAGGAATTTATTCCTCGTGTTTTTATTAAGTTATGTTTTAAAACAATATAATGATGATCAAATAACCCATTTTTTCCTGCAAAACACTCCCTGCTCTGGTGTCGCTTAATGAGCCTCCACCTCCCCAAAAGTAACATATATTATAACTGGAGCTAGTGACCATATGATTAAAGATCCTCAAACAATTCAGAATGCAGCGCGCGTGACACRTCAAATAACAATCTGCCTGAGGTACAATAGGTTATTTTGCAGATGGAAGGGTGGGTACCCAGATAAGCTGACAGTGTCTTTTATCCCCGCTGTAACACGAGGCCTGATAGGGTCCTGAATATATGTAAATTATACACTTTGCATCTGTGGGCTTCTGTGTTCGAACGGGGAAAATAAGTGGGGTAAACAATATTTCCGTTTTATGCCAAAAGGTATTCAAATTCTGTATTTTCAGCATATTTTTTTTGCTGCATTTACAAAAAAAAAATAAAAAACAAATGGTGAGATTCCTTCTCACTTGGATGCCACTAAAAAAACTATGCCCAAAATGGTACAAATGGCGATGGAAAATAATTATGGTAGCAATCAAGTTACAACGAAAACCTATTTGATTAGCGGCCACACTTTACTCAAATTGCAGCTATAAAATTAAGAACAATTCGCCCGTAATGATTATGGACTGGATTTATTTTGGGGAGGGTGGAAATAAAAGTGGATATAGCATAAATTATCCCCTAATTATACRCCAGTGTGGCCTCAATTATCCTCTTATCAAAAATGGTTGTCTAAATGCGGCGTTTAGTTTCAATTTTCTCCTTTTTTTCCCCTCTCCCTCCTCTGAAACAAGAACTTGGTACCTTGCTATTATCGTCATGCTACGGTTGTTATTTACTTTTGTGGGATTTAAAAAAAAAAGAACGCGCACAAGCCAGCCGGATAATCATTTTTACGCAGGCTGCGGACTCAGAGAGGAGCGCAGAGGAGAGGAAGTTAGAACAGGAGACGCGCTGATGGATTTATCGAATTCTTCCAGACAATTTTAGCCTTTTCTATTTTTTTATTTGAGCATTCCTTTTGCTGATTGAACGGCTGCAGGTAAGAGCTTCCTTTACGCTCTCCTCTAGAGGAGGATTTTACCGGCTTGGACAATTTTGCATTTCACTGGGCCACGCAGGCGTGTGTGCGCACCTCGGTCACCCCTCAGTGATCTAACATAGTGGCCCGTGTTCCACTTGGACACGCACAGGAGAAACCAGATCCTCTCTCACCCCCCTTCTTTCTAATTGCCTTTTGAGTGAGCTACTACAAAGACATACATGCTTCGTAGAGATGTTAGTCTAAAAAAATTCCCGTTGGGACATGATTATATATAAAACATCATTCCTGCATTTTCTCCCTTCTTTCTTTTTGCGCATCATGCGCTCTTCTCCCCCTGAGGGATTATTAAGTTTGCGGGGTAAATGTCCAGATTTGGGAGTCTTTTCTTTTAGATTTAAAAGGGGGAAGTGAAGTGGTGAAAGGACGGATTTGCTTGAGCAGAGACAACAAACCATTTTTAAGATGCACGAGCGCTGACAGCATCAGACTGATAAAGAGTTATGAGAGAGCTGCATGCGCGTTTTTCCCAATTTATTCGCATTAAAAGAGTTTTTCTTTCTCTCTGTCTCAGCCCCTGCTTCACCTTATTCATCATCGCCCTGCCTCATCAGCTTTTATCTCAATAGTTCATGATTTCCTATTTTAGAACGTCAAAATGTCAATCATCAAAATCAACAGCGGCGGATCTGAAAAAAAAAATCACTTTGTTCCAATAAGTAGATGATTGACCTTCAGCAAAATCAATGGCTGTGGTGGGGTTTTTAAGGCACAAGTGGTCTTTACTTCCAGCTGTCTTATAAAGGCTGAGGAATGGCTCCCTCTCTCCAAAAATAAAAATAAATAAAAATATCACTCCAGCAGCGTCCAGACGCTCAGGCCTTGAGACTTCCCTGCCACTTTTCTCTTTTCTGGGATGGGGTTGCATTGACACGGAGAAGGTTTCGCAGCAGATTTGCTGCTGGAACTTGACGCAGCGTCATTGCGCATGGATTTAAAGAAAAAGAACAACAACAACACGTTTTGTCCAGTCTTTTTCCTTCATCTGTGTCAGTGTCTTTTTTACCCTCTGGCCACACGTGTTAATCATAGTTAAGGCAGAGTTCTGGCAAAGACACGAGCCATATAATTGGAGCTCTGCGTGTTTGCGGGTGAGTGGCTCCTCCTCGGCTTCTCAGGGACCCGGGCCGGTTGGGGACACCGAGGCATGTCACTGCAGAAAGAGGCCGGGATGCACTTAAACAACAAGCCCTTCTTCTTTCAGAGCGCGCACACTCCCTCTCTCTCTCTCTTCCTCTCTCTTCCTCTCTCTCCCTTCCTGCACAGACAGCCAGGCGTCGACTCCTTTCCATCTCTGCTGCGAAAAGGGCGGGAAGTGGCAAAAGGAAGAGCAGATGCACGCCACACAGCTGACAGCAGAACATGGGTCACTTTAAACAAGACTGCAGTGGAGCAAAACGCTCCAACACAAACGCAAATCAGCTTCCACAAAAAAACCAGGAAGATGTATCCAAATGGCGCGTAATTACGCACGACTTTTGAATGCAAACTAAGCTTTGATGTGTTTTGTAAAAGCCTGCAACTGCACCAATAAAATACATAAATAAAAAATAAATTAAAATAGTGTGGTTAGGTCATAAAGAAAGCCATCCAGGCGCGTGACTGTTTACAACAAGTTTTGCATCATAAATCAGGGCCGCATTATGTCCCGAATAAATAGCAAAATTGGCATATGCATGGCCCCCAGGTGCAGGCGAGAGGGCCCTCAGATGGACCCAGCCTAGCGTGCTGCACAGCTAAATGGCCAGCTAAATGACCACATAGTCACCCCCCCACACACACACACACACACTCACCAAACCCCTCCAGCCTCTCAAAGACTAATGGGTTTAATTTGGCATGGCTGAAGCTACGCAGGTCTCGCTCAGGTTGTGTTGCGCGCTAATTAGAGCTGCTTGTTTCTCTTGTCGCCATCCTTTCTTTGCGTGTTTGGGTCCACCTGAGTGATTGCACAGCTTCTGCACCAGTAGTACAGTTTTTTTTTTTTTTGGTTTGGTCAGTGAAATGATGTAAAAGAAAAACATTTAAGAAAGACGCAAAGGAGCGTGTGTGCGTAATTTGGAGCGGGGAACTGCGGACCATCATCTACTTTCTCACTCAAAAGAGTGGAAATATTATAAGAAAAAATACTCATACTTTTACTCTTTATGCTTTAATTGTACTGATTATTTTAACACATTATAGTCATTAATTCAACTGGTTTAAAATGCGCCAAGTAAACGCGTAAAAGTCCATGATCTTGTGCGACGACGCTTTTTTTTTTATTATTTATTATAGTTTTTTATTAAAAGTTAAAATTTATGTCGGTGACAAGACTTTGAGGGTCTGGGGTGCAGCATAKTCCTCCTTTCCCCCCTCTCGACTTAATACGCCACATTATTAGGTCTGACAGCACAGTGGTCGGTCTTGAAGGAGAGGATTTGGTCGCTAGATGACAGACAGGAAGGCCAGCAATCATGGGCTTTTTTTTYYTTTTTTTATCTGAATGTACTGTTCGATGCCGTTTATCCCTGATGATAGAAAATTGTTCTGTTGCCAGGACGCTGCAGCCGAAATAGAGGGCAGGAGCAACATTTCCATTTTCCAGTTTGAAAAGCCATTGAAATGAATTAGTGAGAAATGAAAAAAAAGAGGAAAATGAGAAAGAATCCCCTGGTAAACAAAAGGGGAGAAAACAAAGATACCATTTTCTTTTGCCGAGAATCCACCCTCTTCATTTTTCCTCCCTTTTCTGCCTTTTTTCCCCTCTTTTTTTCTTGAACTTCAGCAGCAAAATAAAGGTTTTACTTCAACAGTTGCAAATCACACGGTTGGCTTATAATGTAGGCCCAGGCCTATACTTCAAAGACAATCATTTATTTCCCAACCTCCTGGAATAATTAGAGCGCCTTTTCATCTGTCGTGACAGAAGAGAGAGAGAGAGAGAGAGAGAGAGAGAGAGAGAGAGAGAGAGAGAGAGAGAGA